TACGTCTGAACAAAACCAAAGGCACCTTTGAGAAAGGTTATCTCCCCAATTGGACCACTGAACTGTTTACGGTGGATCAGTTGGTGACTGGGAGAACACCTCCTGTGTATCGGATCAAAGATGATCATGGTGAAGTCCTCCAAGGAACTTTTTACCCTGAAGAAATACAACCCATCTTGAAAACAGACGATGTGTATGCCGTGGATCGCGTGCTGAAAAGACGTCCAGGACCGAAACAGGGTCAAGAAGAGGTCTTGGTGAAATGGACTGGCTACCCTGCTAGTTTTTAATTCGTGGATCCCTGCAGATCATTTACAGATAAAATAAGGAGCATGCTGTCTCTCAGACTCATTCAGAGGTTGGACACACGCGATGACAGAACCGCCACCACCACCACCACCACCGTCATCACCTCTGCAGAGAAGCCTCTCAGCATCCGTGGGTACCAATGAACCACCCCTTGCTGCTGCACCTCGTCATCACCAGCGCCGACACTCACCTTGGTGTTGTTTTGGCATGACGTTACCCCGCAGTGAAGTCGTGTTTTTTGCTCAGATCATTGTGATATATGGCGTGATCATCATGAGCATGGTACAGTTGGCCTTTGATCACGGAGAGAAACAGTTGTGGACAGCCCTGCTCTCCAGTTGTTTGGGATACATACTTCCACCACCAACCTTGGCCGCCTCACCAGGCATACCCACGACGACCCCGTCCACCAGAAGACTTCAACTTGATACCTCATCCACCCAGAGTTTTCTACCCTAACTCACGTCATCATGGCTGCCACCTTTTTTTCGAAACAAGACTTTTACATGACCCTGCCCAGTGATGCCTCCATGGACATCTATCCAAACAACACCGTCAATGCGTATGAAATCAAGTTGCCTTATCCTCTGCATCTGGACCGTCAACAGTGGGAGGTGGGGGTCAGCGAAGTTCACTTTCCGATGACCTGGTACAACATCGCCCCACCCTTTGACTGGTTTGCGCTGAACCTCAAACTGAAAAAAGACACTCTTGTGTATGAAAGCGCGGGGAGCGCTATACCACACCCACAGTATGGTGTCGTCCATTATGAAAGCAAGAAGATTCCTATCGAGAAAGGCGTCTATTCATCTGAAGATTTGGTGAAAACCCTCAACCGTTTGATTCAGGAACATATTACGGATGTCTTGAAAGAACAGCCCTCAGACAGCGTTCAAAGTGATGGGAGATGGTTTGTCATTGATGTCAAGTATCCCGCAGATAGTCTTCGATTTGACATGCTTGAAGATGGAAAGGTGCGATTCCAAGCCCCTCAAGAAGTAGCAATCAATCATCCTCTCATGGGAAATACTGGTGGACCACTCTATTCCACGGAAGTGATCATGCCAAGTCCACTCTCGAGAATGCTCGGATTTGTTCAACTACCGCTCTTCTGTGAGGAGGACTATAACACCTACACAGAGACGCCCGTTCCCTTGACTGCCTTGGCCCATTGGCAAGTGGGGGCTACTCCCATGACCGGTGGCTATGTGGAAATCACAGGTGACACAAAAGCACATCGTCTGTCAGGATTTGATACTGTGTACATTTACACCAACCTGGTCGAAGATCAAATTGTGGGCAATACGATGGCCCCCTTGCTGATCTACGTGCCTGTGTCAAAGAAGATGATGCAAGACAGTGTGGTGATTAAAAGCCCTCAGCACATTCACTACCTTGGGTTGCGTCATGGTTCCTTTGACGGTATTAAACTCTATATCATGGACGACACATGGAATGACCCGTGCCATTTCAAATGGGGAAAGCCATCGTGACACTTCACTTCAGACGCCTCTACTAACGCAGAAAGCAACATGTTGGGACACGCATTGGCACACCAGATGAATCGAGGACAGTTCGGCCAGCGTGGGAGTGGTATCAAAGTATACAAAGCACGTTATCATCAACGTGGCAGTGCCTTTCCTTAAATCTGCCGGAACATCGGTGCTCAAGATGGGTAAAAAGATCCTGCCTGGGTTGGTGAGTGATGTGGTTGGAGGCAAACGCAAATGGTCAGAGAGTCTGAAATATCGCGGCACAGCAGCCCTGATGGATGTCTTGGAGGAACGTGAGGAGCCGAGACCCCCTAAAAGCCGTAAAGTCGTCCCAACCACCACCACCCACCAGAAACAGCGTAAAAGGAAAAGAAAAACGGTTTGTAGGTCAGTCCTCATCAGACTTTCAACCTGACCAGACGTCCTTCAAGGCAGAGAAAAGGGTGAAACATCCATTATCATGATGCGCCGAGATGCTTGCGAATGTTCAAAGGCCCAGTTGGATCTCTTTACTGTACCCCCTGTGTCCACCTCTGTGCAAGAGGGTCGGTGGATTCGCTATAGTCCCTTGGCACCACCCTCTGTAGCAGGACCACTCCAGTTTAACATTTCCAATCCCGTGAACGCTTACATTGATTTGAAACAGTGCTACCTGAGAGTATGTCTACGTGTGACAAAAGATGATGGCACGGATACCTTTCTAGCGGATAACCCCGTATCGACAGTCAACAATGTGATGCATTCCCTGTTTCGCGAGTGCGGCTGCAAGTGGGACACAATCAGTTGGAGATCACACCCTCCATGGGCACTTACCCTTACAGAGCCTACTTGGAAACCCTTCTGAGTTATGGTACAGGAGCCAAAACATCTCACCTTCGATGTCCTGGTTGGTTCACCGACGATGCTGGTAAAATGGACGTCTTCAATCCTGATGCAGATGCGAACACAAGAAACACAGGTGTCAGAACGCGATGCGATCTTATCGTACCCACCAAAGAAGTGGAACTTACAGGCCGTCTACACTGTGACCTGTTTCTTCAAGACCGTTATCTGCTGGATGGTGTCCCTATGAAACTGGAATTGCTACGAAGTCCCGATGAGTTCTTCTTCATGTGTGCTGCTGATGGTGTCTACAAACTAGCGCTGACCAAAGCCGAATTCTTTGTCCGTCAGCTCAACATCGATCCTGCTGTCTGAGAAACACACGTGTCCAGTCTGAACGCTGGGGTGACTGCCAAGTATCCCCTTTCACGTGTGCATGTGACTGCCCATGACATCCCAAGAGGCGGTAGGGACTTTCACAAGGATCACCTCATCGGTGGCCAATTACCAATACGCGTGGTCCTGGGACTGGTGGACAATAGTGCCTACGTAGGAAGCAAAGAGAAGAATCCGTACAACTTCAAACACAATCATGTCACCATGATGAAGCTCAAAGTCAACGGCCAGGAAGTCCATGGCACGGAAATGAAAAGCGACTTCAGCAACAACAGCGCCCATTTGAAACAAGTCTACATGAATCTGTTCCGAAACACGGGGCAGCTATGGCGACCTGAGACCTGCGAACTGACTCCCAAGGCCTTTACTCAAGGTTACACCTTGTGGGTGGTGGATCTCACCCCAGACCTTGGCGCTGATGAAGGCATCAACTACCCTCGACACACTGGCAAGTTGGGTTTGGAAATCCAGTTTGGACAAGCTCTTGAGGACCCAGTCACCCTCATCTGCTATGAGGAATACGAAAATGTTCTGGAAATAGATCGTTTCGGGAATGCGATGATGGTATAAAAAGAGCAGCGACAGACGGTCATGACACACTTTTTCTCCTCCTACAAGGAACCATGGATGAACCACTCGGGTTGAGCAACTTGGATTTAGAAGCCCTCGTGGCTGATGACGAACCACTTCATGCCATCTACCGGGGCACCCTGGCCAGAGATGACTTCGCCAGACTGGGATGGCAACAGGATGACCCCTTTTACCCCAAAGCCTACGTGATCAACACAGATTTAAGCGATCAACCTGGCACACACTGGGTGAGCATCTATCGTCCAGCTCCTGGATCCGTGGAAATGATGGATAGCTATGGACTGTATTCATTACCCCTGTTCAAAGAGACTTTGAATCGCATGGGTCAGATTCAACAACGATGGAATACACGCCCCTTACAACATGGATACAGCACGTTGTGTGGGGTGTACTGTCTCTACATGCTGACCTATCGCGTACGGGGGTGGACTTTTAATCCAGTGTTACATACGTTGGACTGGAAGGACACCGTCAAGAATGATGCCACGGTATTAGCATGGTTTCATACCAAAGTGTCTACCTCCGTTCCTGTGGATGAGATGCCTGCCTTTCGACTGAGTGCCCAGACGCGTACCCTACATCAAAAGAACCAACCTGCCCTTATTGACCTGACACTTGTTCACTGAACCTACGATCACCTGACTGTCAACATTCCTGATTGAGGAGTGTACATACGTTCACTGCGTTTTAGGAATGTACATACGTTCACTGTCAAAGTGGCAAAAGTTCTTTTTTTTCAAACTGTACATACGTTCACATACGTGTACATACGTTCATGTTCACAAAAGTCACAGGGATGTCCCCCCCCTTATCCTGTGACTTTTATTTTGTTGTGTTGGTTCATGTGAGCGGGGGATTAAAAAAAGTTGAACCCATAGTCGTGTTGTGTTGTCTGTAGGATGAAGAAAAACAAAACAGGATCGCCATCTCACCCAAAAGACAACTTTCCTCCTTTGCTTTGACGACCCTCTCCAACCCCCACACCGTGAACCCACCCCCGCCTCCTCCCTCCCTCCCTCCCTCCATTCACCACCACCACCCCCACGTCTATGTGTAGAACAACAACAACAACAACTAAAGATTTTTGACGCGCTTCTTTCAATGTCGATCCTGTTCACCTTTTACGTGCGCTTCTCCGGGTTTTCCCCTACCTCCCCGGAAACGGAGGTGACGTCATCTTGAATGCGTACGCCACCGGAAACGGATGCGCCGCCATCTTGAATGCGCATGCCACCGGAAACGGATGTGCCGCCATCTTGGATGCGCGCGCAGGACCCATCATGCACTGCTCAGGTCACGTGACCGGAAGTGACGTCACAGAGGTCACGTGATCCTCTCGACCAATCAGAAGCAAGGAGCGGTCCCATACCGATGCCTACAACTTCTTACCTGAATCACATTTGTCTCCAGTCCATCCAGCCTGACATCCAGCGGGACAGACACCTGACACCTTGTCACAGGAAGCACCTCCATAACAGTTACCACAAGAAACACATGGCGCACCGTACGTGTTGGCTGGACATGCTGAAATGTTATCGCGTTTTAAATGATAACGAATAGGCATCATCAAAACCGTACGTGTGAGTGTGTCAGTGTGCTAATGCAATGTCCTTAGCAATATTCCACCATTGGTCCAGCATTTTCACGCACTGAAAAGCCAGTAATGGGCTTCACACATTGTAGTCATGTGAGGATTTTAACCGGGGCCTTAAGCGTGAAGAGCTACATCCACGCTACACCACCGAACCAAAACTGAACAAAAGGCAATATTTGTGGCTATCAAGGGAAGGTGGACTTTATCATCACTTCAACTCACTGCAAATGATGTAAGTAACTGTAGAAAATTAAAAGCTTGATGTTTAAGTTTCTAAATGTAAACATATCGTAACGTTATTATAAGGAACACCTCTGCTTTCTTGATGTACCTGAATCACATTTGTCTCCAGTCCATCCAGGCTGGCATCCAGCGGGACAGACACCTGACACCTTGTCACAGGAAGCACCTCGAAAACAGTTACCACAAGATACGCATGGTGCTCCGTACGTGTTGGCTGGACAAGCTGAAATGTTATCGCGTGTTACTTGATTACTGATAAACATCAGCAAAACTGTATGGGTGAGCACCTCGAAGTGTCGTTGTACAATGTGTGCCACAAGTACCAAAGTTCATTATTGGACAACTATCTTTCGAAATCTAAAACGTCAACGCCAGTGACAATAACTACAGTAAACTACGGTTATAACGAACACGCTTATAACGAACTGACGGATATAGCGAACTTACTTTTTTGTCCCGACTATTTGCTGTAGTTATGCTGTACATATGTTTATAACGAACTACGGTTATAACGAACTAAAATTAGTGGTCCCTTTGAGTTCGTTGTATCCGTAGTTTACTGTAGTCTCGATTATAGACAGAAACATGGATGTAAAAGCCAAATAGCGGTGAAAATTGTATCTATGGATCACTGAAAATCAGGTTTTCGCGAAAAGGGTAAACATACCCTGCCCTACCGGTAACACCCGCCACTCACACAAATGTAAGTGACTGTTGCCTCACGTCGCACAGCAATTCTCCATTATGACTAAGACCATGTCTTCTCAAGTCAATGGTGGTCAAAAAACCTTACCTTTTCAATGTCCTGCCACAGAACACACTTATTGGGTAGCCATGAACATAACAAACTTTAGAGTGTATGGCCGTGACCGAGAATTTGACATTGAATGAAAGATATTTTAAGAACATTCAGCGTTTAATCTCAGGTGTAACTCAAGGTAACAACGAAAATAATAAAGAGTATGCTGTTCTTTGAAAATAATTCACAGTGACCTTGTACTCTTCTCTTTCATAGACAGATTGACCTAACTGGAGGATATGTTGTGAGTGTGTGTCGCGCGTGCGTGTATGTGTACTAGCCATGACTAATACATCTAGTTTTATAGCCACTGGGATACTATGTCGCCATGAGATACATGTACCTACAGTAAGTGCGTGTTGAGTTTTCGTCATACGAACTTTTCTTCAGTCACCTTTGATATGACAATCCAGAGTGTCATAATATTTTCCCAGATATATTATAGAAGATATACTTATAATATATTATCCCGGTGGCGGCAGTCAGATTCTGGCAAACCTCTTAAGCATCAACATTTACATTACATTAAACGTAACAGTCATACGATATGTTCATATGCCTGTGACAAAAAGAATCAATATTACAAGTATCACAGTAATCTCCCATCCAACCAGGCTGGCAACCATCCGGGCATCGTCCGATTAGGTGGTTACAAGAACTTCCGGTCTTGCAGTTTGGACAAGCTGATCCACAGTCATCGCCATATGTTCCCGAATCACAAACTAAAGTATAAAAAATGTTAAAATGATTTTAAACACAAATAACTTCTCGTGTTACCAAACAATGCGATTAATTTCAGGATAACAAACAAACTTGAAGTACAAACCTTGTGTACACGTGTTCCTCTTATAACCAGTCTCACATCCTTCTAGGCACACACCAGTTGTCTTCTCACATATTGTCTTGCACTTCCCACAAGGGTCACAGTTGATTCCGTATTTTCCATCAGGGCAGGGAACTGAGATAAAAAAAAAGCCTTGTTATTCATCCATAATGCGTTTTATGAATAAATCGGTCACCTCTTAGAACACTATACCCTCGCGTTTTCTATAGAATGTATCTCAATTGAGGCCTCAATCACGTGGATTTCAATCCTCGACTGATGCCGGAAGCTGACGTGACGCCATGCTGGACTTTCTTATTGATAATATCTATGTAAACTTTGGGGGAAGACATTTAGGCAAGAAGTAGGCATCCCATGGCACCAATTGTACTCCCTTACTTGAGGATCTATTTCTTTATGCATTAATCGGAATTTCTGCTCGGAGGGCAACGTAAATTTAGCCAAGAAGGTTAACTTAAGCTTCAGGTATATATCGATGATCTGATATCGTTCAATAACCATCAAATAGCCAATTCCCTTCCACTGATTTACCTTCCTGAACTAGAACAAAGGAGACCAGTGTGACCGCCTCATCTGTTTCACAGTTTGATCTATGCATAAGGATTCAGAGTGACAAAACACTCTCCACAAGATAGTAAACTTTCGCTTCATGTCGAGCAATATTCCAACAGCTCCGGCCTTTGGTATTTACTTTCTCAACTTTTGAGATACACTCTTTCCACCACATTTCAAGGAGCGTCAAACGACTCGGGAGTGGTTTGATCAATGTTACAACACTCAAGGCCACAGTAAACCTTTCAAAATGTTTTATGGTAGACATGTTTAGGACATTTCCAAAAATGACGTCCGATGCATTTACCTATTTTGACTACAATATGTTCCCGTGGTTTTCTCAGATGAACAATTGACTTGCCTTTGCATGTGTTTGTGACAGATGCCACCGTTGGGGAAGGATACGCTAACCTGTTGGCGAACAACTGGTATCATCACTATTTGATAGTGATTCATAGACACATGCTCATGATATAGTCGAAATCGTACAATCGACTCTGCTTTTTGCAGAGATTTCTTATGAATATGGAAAGGGCTTTGTCACTTTTCTTCAATTGTGTGAATATACTCATTACAATTACAATATGCGATTCCTTGTGTCTAATGTCTTCGTATATCTTGTGGAACTGTGTATATATTGAAAAACTATACATTACCTGAGGCATTGAAGTTTGGCGAGAAAACGTGGATGCCAGTTGACGCCTGTAAACCGGGTACATTTAAGGTCCAAGAATAGGAGCCAGTATCCGTTGAGACATAAAAAGAATCTCTGACGAAAAGAAAACAAAAAAACTGAAATATACGAATAATACATGCAAAACAGTTAACTATTGGTAATAATAATGTGAATGCATTGATATAAACTGCAGGGTGGTTTTCTTTGAACTTGACAGTAGGGCATTTCACTGTCCGGTACAGCCCAGTATGTGATTGCCAGCTGATTGAAGCTTACTGATAAGCCTAGAGACTATTATTCTATTATCGCTTTATCAAGTCTCTGCAACCAGAAATACTCTCCATGAACGCCCTATGTTGACAGTTATATCATGATTAAAATAATATTACTTAAGTAGTACTCTACACTATACATTCAATGAAGAAACCTATGAGCATATCAAGTATTTAACAGACTAACATATCATTATCAATATTGTACAACAATTCAGGTAACAGTGGTTGGTTGGTTGGTTGGTTGTTTAATGCCGCACAACAGTGGAGTGTATCAAGATAATGACGATAATATCTTCTTGGGACACTCTACACAAGCCAAAAAAGAGCACTTGTCACTACTTCCAAATTCACTAAAATGACAAGTAAAATTGTCACACAGGCAAGCACATTTCCATCGAATGCATATACATGTTGCTCTTGCACGTTTTATTTCCTGAAAGATAAAGATAATCTATCCTGCTTTTGATTTCATTGAAGTTAGGTCAACAGTTGAACTAACAACTACAGTAAACTCAAAGGGACCACTAATATTAGACTATATACAGCATATACACAGCAAATGGCTGAGACCCCCCCCCAAAAAAAAAAAAAAAAAAAAAAAAAAACACTTCGTTGTATGTCAGTTCGTTTTAAGCGTGTTCGTAATAAACGTAGTTTACTGTACAGAGCTTATTTAATCAGGAACACAAAATTCTTGGAGACAACGATACAAAATAAGTGACATCGTTCAGTGATAAAATCGAGCCCCGCCCACTACATTATCAGTCAATCAGAAAACAATAGTCAGCTATGGGGGTTTAAACGCAAAAATAATTGCTTGGATAGCCAATCAATTGACATGAAATCACTTTCAATTAATATTTTTCCTAGTATTGACAATGACTGTGCATTTCGGTGCAACAAAGCTCATACGCAACATGCTGCTCATTGGAAGCGGTTCACAGTGACTATTGTAACGAGCTAAAAGTTAACGCTGCAGACGGCAATATTACAGTATATCACGACGGCCTGTACATCATCGTAGTACGACGACGCGCAACCAGCCACAGAGCATGACCACCCTCACCATATCATTCAAGCCTGATTCAGAACTCCATGTATACGACATTTTACTTCAATGTATCACCCCAGACAGCATTATAAGGAATATATTTTTGACAGGTAAATGTTCAAGGCACACCGTAAGCGATATTGATATATACCGAACATAGCTAATTTAACTAAGCAATTATTAAACTCAAATTGAATATTAACAACGCTCAACAACGTGCTTCAAATCGAAATGGCAACTCATATTTCAGACTGTTAAGTAAAATATGAAAAAGACGTGTACTTACGGTGCTTGCAATGCCGTGAAGAAGATAATGCCATTGAAGTGGGATATAGAGAAGAATTGTTGTCCAGGTTGGATGTATATTGTTTTTCTGTCAGAACCGTCCACTCGAACAGATTCAATAGATCCTGTACCCTCAGTCCAGAACAAGCGACCAACTAGGTGTACAACTCATGTATATCATCACACAGGCAGTGATAAGAAAATGAATTGACATACCATTCTAACAATTTCCCTCCTTGTGATAATAATATAAATATTGCACATTAGCACTCGCCATGAGTTCAACCATATCACAATGAATGGCAAAAACAGTGTATGCCGTAAGGCTGATATGAACGAGACATATGCATTCCCTACCAATTCATCACAGAGGACATTGCCATTTCATATATTATTTTAAACATATAAGGTGTCAAAAATCAAGAAATTGTGGTCAAGTATGGGTTTCCAATATCATGAGTACTCAGCCAGTTGTTGTGACTAAGTGTATGTTGTATAGGGTACTTTTACTGTATTGGGAGTGCTTTAATTTTGCTCAAGGTTCAATCCAACATTCAAAATACTACTGTTCCATGAGTATTCAGCATGTTGTTTTAACTAAGTGAATGTTGTAAACGTTACAGTCAGTGTGTAAAATCAGTCCATGTGTAAAACGTGATCCATTTAGGCAATTTACAAAATGCCTGAAACTTCAGTTTTTTTACAAATTCACTGGCATTTGATAAACAATCCTAAGTTTCATCATGCAGAATTTAGGTTACTTCAATATTCAAAGCATGTATGTGTCAACACATTTTTAACAGACACCGTAAGTGAAACAAACCAAAACAGTATTTCAAGTGTTGTGAAACAACTGAAATTTGACACGTTTTCAAATCCGATTGTGACGTCATAAATATGGCGTCACAAAGCGTTGTGACGTCATGACGTGCAAAACAAAGCTAAACATTGCAAGGCTTGTAAATGTTTTTGGTGAAAATGAGCATATACAGCGCCCTACCATGTTTAAGATTATTATCGGTGTTCCCATAATTCAGATCGGCAGCCCACTAAAAACATTTGATTGAATCCATTCACCTTTAATCAATATCTCAGTCAACAGAAAAGAGTTTGCGTTCAATTTAGAATGTCAAGGTAGAATGGAGACAAGCATACACAATTTCAATGTGGAGCTGCGCGTTTGATTCTAACTCAGTTAAATCTACAGATAACCTGCATTGGAATGGCAGTTTGTTTATTCCCTAAGTATACCCACCATGTTCATCGATAGTGATGTCGTAAGGAGCCTTAAGTCCCGAAATTAGAGTTTTCCTCTGCGCCCCAGTGTAGTCGCACGTCTCTAGCTTCGGCGTGCTTCCCCAGTCTACCCAGTATAGGTTTCTGATACAAAAAAGATGCATTTCGTTTAGGTTAATTTAAAAGCTTTTCCTATATACACTATAATAGCATATTGCATTCAGGAAGTCGAAGAGATTGATCAATGCACACCTTGGTATAACTGAAGTACTGTTCAAACTTGTGGCATACTAATGCCTAACGTTCAACTAAAATATTTACTAAAATTTTACTAAAATTGTCATCCTATTTTTTACCCCTTTCAAATACATATACATAAATGACATATATTGGTTTCCTTCTTTAAACCATCATAGTCACCATCACAATCACCAACATTTCTAGAAGAACCCAGAAATCATTCATACCACCATTAGGACATATTTGCCTTCGGTTTGGCGAATAACATGATCACTAGAATCTCATAAGACATTCCACTCTAATGACATCATTTCCATTTTCCATATCCCAATACAGCACAGTTATGGAACAGAATACTAATAGTATTAATAATTCCTCAAGCTACCTTAATAAGAAAGTCATGCACACTTACGATTGAATGATTTCACTTTCAGTTGTGGGAAATGCATGTCATATGCAGTGTGACTTTAAACGGAAAAACCACTCACTCACTCACTCACTCACTCAAAACATGTAATAACTATTTTCGGTTAAATTACATCACTTCTGGTTTATGAAAACACGTCTAATGAAGTACAGCTTTAAAACAGAGATTACCTTAATAACAAAGTTATAAGCAGTTTTAATTACTTTTTTGCACCATAATTTTCAAACATGTTATTATTATATTCTACAAATTTAGGTTAGGTTACCGTGATAATCTGTTGATATCTTACGAACATTTTAGAAGTTGGTTAGTAAATGAGAAAAGGTACAACCTTAAGAATAACAAATTGTGATTTATTGCAATGGTGTATGTGTAATTGACGAAAGTCACAATTGAGTAATAACTACATAGTACGGGTAATTTAGGCAATTGTTGTCATGAATAGGGCTATTTGTTATTTTTACCGTACATCTTGCTTCATCCAGTTATCTGTGTGCTACTTGTTATATATTTCCTATTGTTGTTAATGGTAATCTGCCGCTTATCGCAAGATGTCAGGCATATATACTTCTCTTCACTTGGATGTAGTCACTCGAGCTTGATAAGGTGTAAGAATCTACATCTGAACGTCGTTATATGCAATAAACCAGAGGTTGTTATCCATAAATGACAGTTGTACGGGGGGATTTTGAGGGGGGGGATATCATACGATTTCCACCAAACGCCATGCACAAATATCTGCAGACAAATGCATTAAGTGAAATGGCAATCCTTATTTACGAATCAGCTTCATGGTGACCTTGAAAATATACGTTCATTCACGACATCGATATCGGACCCCTTATAACATTACCACGTTCGTTGACCTATAGTAAATCTTTCTCGAGGTTTTTTAGGCTTGAGGGTGGCATTGGACCTTGACGTGTTTGATCAAAGTGTCAAAAATATGTCCCAAGGTTAAAACGGAGAAATCTCTGAGGTGCCCAAGCTCTGCATTGTTCCAAAAAAGATACAGCATCTGCTACTAATTGAAAGTAACCTATTACTGCTATATACGATTGGCATCATTTGCCACCCATAAGTATTCAAAAATGTAATAACACAAGACTTGCAAAATATCTTCAGAACAAAAGATATGTAAATGAAATGGCAAGCAATGCTTTACGAATGACCTTCACGGTGACATTGACCTTGTGCATAAATCATTCAGGAACGTATTGGATATACGGCCCGCCACTAGGATATCATGTACCAAGATTCATTGACCAGTAAATCCAGTTCAAGTGAGGGGGTAACAAATTCCTTTTTATTTCGTATGACCTTGAGGGTGACCTTGACTCTTGACTCTTGACTGATCAAAGAATTTCCAAGAGCTATAAAGAAGATATCCCTGAGATGCCCCAGCACCGCATGGTTTCACAATGGCGGTCCAATCCAGTTGAAATCTTACAACATATAAAAATAATTACACATTTACACTGGGCTGCTTTAATTATTCAATCGTACTGACCTGTTTTTAGTATCAGCAACAATCCCTCTGGGTTTGTCGAGATCAGTGTTAACAATCACTGTAGGCTGTAAACTGTCCATCTCGATCCTCACAATACGATTATTACCATCATCTGTGATGAAGACTTGCCGGGTTGTGCTGTCCAGTGTTAATCCTTCGTATTGTGATTCTACCAAGTACAGGAAATAAGGTACATGTCACATGTAATATGCCTACTGCTTTGTCCAAGAGATAAATTCAATTGCGTCAGATGTGAGCGCATTTGTCCTAGCTACCTATTCATGATGACCATTGCCTGAAATACCCGTACCATGTAGTCATACCTCAATTGTGACAGTCATCAATTACACACACAAAAATGCTAATCCCTAAATGAGTGTGCTAGTTGTTAATCCTGTTCCCCATCTGCATTCAGACACCCCACACTTTCCAGTGTAACTGTGTCATCCTAAAACTGTTGAGTATAATAATATGTTGTCCCAGCGCAATCGCATAATATGAATTCAAAGCCTTCAAGAGGGTAATCTATGTTTGTACAAACTAATTTATTTTGTACTCACTCAGCGCTGCAACAACTTTTGATGCTGTTCCATCGATATTCACCTTCCTCAAAGTTTGTGTGCCAATGTCCGTCCAGTATATGTCCCGTGTCTCCACGTCAAAATCTATGGCCACCGGTGAAGATATAGGTTTACCGGTCCTCTGTGTTGAGTTCATGTGGTGAATATATATTTCAAACAATGTTCCTTGTTGACCAGGCAGGCCCGAATCAGCCAAAAGCACCACAAGTTCTGGAGTCCCTGAAATAGTTTGAAAAGAAATTGTCAGCAAAAATGTGAGACAAATAATCATATTTAAAAAAGAGGTTGTGTATTCTGTATCCACCCTGTTATGTTGCTTGGGGCATGGGTGGCCTTCTCGTCTCAGGATCCAACGATTGTGGGCTCGAATCCCAGATAAAACAGATTATCATCCCATGCTTGTCAGCATCATTCCCGTGCACGTGGGGTTCATCAGAGAAAAAATCAACGACCATTGTTTTTTTCCGCTGATTGGTTCAAAATCGTGTTAAATGGTATTCAAATCTCGGATATCTTCTCTGCGATTCCAGGCCAAGGAACTGTTCTTGGTAGATACATGTATTAAGTGCTATCTGTTTGAAAGGACAGGGTAGCATAAGGGTCATTTTTGTCACATAGAATATTTTTAAGTTTTGAAATATTGATATGTTAATTATCAGATATCTTGAAACTATCTAATAACAATATAACAACTATCCTTGTTTTTTTCTTGCACTTGCAAGATTTGGACAGGATCAGAAGTTAACAAGGTCGATTTTGGAAATTCAAGAGAAATAATGTAGCCAAGTCTGTAACTGTAAGATGAAGTGTTCAGCTTATGTTTGTACTGGTTTGTTTTTGTCAAGACTTGCTTGTAGTAAACAAAAATGTCGGCGATATTATGTTTGAGGTGTAACTACAGATAAATACAACAATGTATGGCAATGAAGTAAGTGATTTATGTGGCAGAAGAAATCAAGTTCCCAAACACAACATTGTGACAGTCATGAGCACGTGACCTTGGAAAGCACGTGCAAGGGGTGGTATCCCAGATTTACCATTGTCATTCAGACTCGGTTGTGAGCAGACAAATATTGTTTCCTTGGAACCAAACTCTCAAATACACTTTATCAAACACATTTAATCATTAAGGAACAGCATTGATCATGCAACGTTTGCAACGTGCTGCACGTTTACGTGCATGTTACAGGTGGGCACACGTCAGAAGATTATGGGCCCCATACCAACAAACACATAACGTCGATGATGACGTCCACGTGTCATCCCACAACTTACTACACTTGATTTGAATCAGAGGTGTCAGTGGTGTAAGGAAAGTCAGCACTGGGGTTATCGACGTTGGGCTGAATGGAGGTTCACTCTCGACTGCCATAGCCGAATGAATCGAGTTTGGAGACGTCCTAATGAGCGTTTTATGGACGTTAACGTCCGAGAGCATGATCGTTTTGGGATTGGGTTCATAATCGTATGGGGTAAGTCAGTGAGTATGGTTTTACGCCGCTTTTAGCAATATTCCAGCAATATCACTGCGGGGGACGCTAGAAATGGGCTTCACACACTGTGCCCATGTCGGGAATCGAACCCGGGTCTTCGGCGTGACGAGCGGACGCTTTAACCACTAGGCTACCCGACAGTCCCCATAACCGTATGGGGGTGGTATCACAATGACTGACCGAAATGCGCGGTCCATATTGTCCATGGCAGAGTCATAGGTCCATACCATCAGGACAACATCATTGTGTCATTTACATAACATGTTGGGCAACGTTTCATCTTTCAAGATGATCATGCACGTGCTGATCGTACCAGGATTGTGACCCAAGTCCTCCAACAGCAAAACATCCATGTCATGCCATGGCCTGCACGGACCTTTCCCCAAGGAACACGTATTGAACGTGATTGGCAGACGTGTACGTCAACGTCAAAATCCACCCACCACTCTCAATGAATTCGGTGTTGCTCTCACTGGTGATTGGAACAACCTGAGTCAAGCTGACATTGGCCTTCTCATCAGAAGCATGCCTCGAAACATTCGTGCATGTCTGGCTAACAAAGGTGGTTTTCCCTATATCTTTTCGCGAATCTGATTCGGAATTTCTGCTCGGAATGGCAGAGTCAAAAATGGGTCATTTGGCCAAGAAATTAAGCTTGAGGTATATCGATAATCTGATACCGTTCAATAACAATCAAGCAGTCAATTCCCTTCCACTGATTTAGCCAGCTGAACTAGAATTAAAGGCGACCAGTCAGACGGCCTCATCTGTTTCATATTTAGATCTATGCATAAAGATTCAGAGTGACAAAACACTCTCGACAAGACTGTATGACAAGAGGGATTACTTCAAATTTCCAACAGTCAATTATCCCTTCATGTGATTCGGGCTGGTCAAAAAGTTCTGAGTCTAACAAACAAAACCAACAATTGTGAAAGTGTTATTAATTTTATTTTTCAACATAATCTCCCTGCTTTTCAATACACTTCTCATGTCGATAGTCAAGCGTTTAAATTCCCGCCAGGAAGAAGTTTTCTGAAGCCACCCTGAAAAACACATTCACGGCATCTTTGAGGTCATCGTTGTCGACATGGCGCTTTCCACGAATTTGTTCTTTCAGTTTAGGAAACAGGTGGAAATCACTTGGTGCCAGGTCTGGCGAGTATGGAGTGAGAAAGCTCTTCGTCTTGTCGCACAGCAGCCTTTAATGTGGGAGGAAAACCAGAAGTGATGCAGGTCTTATACATTTACCACTTCAGTGAAACCAACGAGTATGGGTATGGTGCTGACAAACCTAGAAACATAATCGGGGCGAATCGGGATTCGAACCCACAATCGTAGGTTTCTGGTGTGTCCAAGGGACGCAACTCTGCACAGCTTATTGCGGCGCCTTAGACGGCTGGGCCACCCGTGCCCCCGAGAGGTATGAGCAGGGGCATTGTCATGAAGTAGTAGAACTCCAGCAGTCAGCATACCTCGCCGCTTATTTTTGATGGAATTTCTCAGGCGAAAGAAAATCAGTAGACACCGGTTATCGTCTTTTGACTTTCTGAGTAATCAACAAGTATCACACCCTTTGCATCACAGAATACAGTGGCCATAACTTTCTTCACTGATCTTGAAGACTTGAATGTCTTTGGTGCCATTCGATGGATTGACTTTTTGACTCGGGATCATAGTGGTAGACCCATGTTTCATCACCTGTTACTGATCTCTTTTTTTAATTTGACGAAATCCTCCTCAATTAGCTCTAAATTTTCTCTTGCAATGTCAGGTTAGAATTTAGAAACTTTAGCACCCAACGAGAAGACATTTTATTCATCTGTAAATGTTCGTGAATAATAGTTTCAATGGTTCTATGGCTTAGACCTGTGTCTTTCTCAAGTTCAGCAATGGTAATACGTCTATCTCACAGTAAAACTTTTTCTCTCTCCTTGATTGAATCTTCATTGATGGAAGTTAACAGACGTCCAGACCTAGGGTCATCATCAAAGCTTGTTCTCCCAGCCTTAAACACAGCTGCCCACCGTTTAACAGTGGAAAAGCTAGGGCACGTATCCCAATACACTTATGACAAACGGTCATGAGTTTTTTGTGGAGTACTTTTCTCTAAGGTAAAAAAACTTGAAGACTGCTCGGTACTTTTCCATTTCTGTGTCCATTTGGACCCCTATCACGTTCAACTGGCTGTCACTAGTACACAAACAGCCTCAACAGACTGTTACGTATTGATGGCTTGAGAGTTACCTCCCTTACTGTACGCATATAGGCATGACGTCACTGTGAGCGTCGTCTGATGGCGTTCTAGAAGCAGAGAAGTAAATTCAATGACCAACCACTTCTAGTTGTCATAAGTTTGTAGTGATGAAGTCAAGTAGCATCAAACACTTAACATGGTGTCAGAAGTAAAACTTAGATTGCTATCATAACGTTGGACTGTGTTGAAATTCCCTATTCTGACTGTTTCTGTTCTCTGTCTAACTGACCGCGTGCGTTTCTGATGCATGTCACCTATTTTCGTGATACCGATACGGCGTGGTAAATCTACTGAACTGTGTCATATTTCGTTGTGAAATTTGATATATACTCTGACTGTAAGGGATTTCAACCAGTAATCTAAACTGTTTCTGATATGATCTATGAGAACAACGGTGTTTTCTATCTGAACTGACTGAATACTATTCTGTGTGTAATTGAATCTACGGAAAGCCATTACGCCATATTGCTTGGTTACTGTTTTTGACTGATCATGGCAGAAGGTAATCAGGCTGCACTCTAAGTTGTTCACATACCAGTTAACATTCCACTGCCTACTAGATTAGATCTGAAAGGTGATCTGTCTAGAAATTTCAAGAAATTCAAACGAATGTGGGAAAATTATGAGCTTGCATCTCGCACTAGGACTGATAGTGAGGAATGTGGATCGGCTACCCTATTGACATGTATTGGTCCAGATGTCTTAGACATTGTAGATGGATAAGAATTTGAAAATGAAGCAGATAGACAGAAGGTGGACAAAATACTGGAAAAACTTGAACATTATTGTATAGGGGAAACAAATGAAACTTGGGAAAGATACAATTTCAACAGAAGGGACCAGGAACAATCTGAGTCCATTGATTCTTATGTTGCAGTATTAAGAAATCTTGCAAAGAGTTGCAACTATGGGGATTTAGCGGAGTCATTGACCCGTGACAGGATGGTAATGGGCATCCGCGATAATGCAACAAGAAAGAGATTGTTACAAGCTTCAAAACTGTCTTTAAAGGACTGCATAGATATTTGTAGGTCGCATGACAGTGCGACGAGACGTCTGAAATCACTATCGCAAGCTGAAGATGTTTAGTTTGTTAGTCAAAGGAAACCCAACAAGTCACAGAAACCTAATGCTAAGCAACAGATCAAAACATCTGAACTGCTCAAATGTAAGTTCTGTGGAAAGAGGCATGAGTTTCAAAAGAAAGAATGTCCGGCATGGGGTAAGACTTGTGCAAAATGCAAAAAGAGAAATCACTTTGCTGCTTTGTGTCCTGGAAAGAGCAAAGACAGGGTTCACATGGTGGATAGTGATACTGAAGATAGTGAGTCTGAAGAGTTTGTAATGTCTGTAACTTCTGACTGTGTCAATTCTGTACAAGTTGATGAAATGAACTTGGTCAATCAGAATTACCCCAAAAAGATATTTGCAACATTGGTTGTGAATAGAGAGGAAGTTGAATTTCAACT